AAGATCCCATTCAAAAACCCACCATGGCAGGCCGCCCACCCAAACTTGTTCCATTATAAGGACTGTATAGGGTGCATTGACAAAAGTGTTGATTTAAACATTGTTCTCAACATGGTTCAAAAGTGTAGGGGTGCTGAACAAAAGTGTAGGGAACAACATTGTTCATGTATAGCTTGTTTCTGGAACATTGCTACAAGTCTAAACTAAAGGTGTGTCTTTTCATGTGTTTCTCCACTTGGGCAAAAGCATCAACATGTTTGATCCAAACAGACGCCACAACATTGCTGACCAAAGGTGATGTCCAATTGTTACTTAGATTTGGTGGCTACCTAGACAAAAAGCGGTCTATAATTGCTACTTAGATGTCAAGGCGCTACCAAGACCAAATGCTACCTAGTCAGGCTTTTGGTGAAAGGATGGAAACATGACATTACCCATGAAAGGCTTTCAAAAACTGCAAACTGAAGCGCAAAACAACTCTGCAATATGTTGTTTCCAGCCGTCTTTGCATTGATCTTTCAGCAGTGAGACAAGCTAAAGTTGAAACTGGCAGCAGTCCTTGTGGAATGCAGCTTTCAGTTTTCAGTCAAAAGGCAAGCGTCTATCTTTGCAGCTGTTTCTCTCATGGCAGCCCTGGCATTCCTCTTGGCTGTATTTGGTGAACTTCCCATGGCTTTCTGTCTTTTGTGCTGTTGGTGGTATGTGCTGCTTGTCTTCCTGTGCCTCCAAGTGGTCTTGTGCGCCGCCTCTTTCTCACCAGCTTTCACTTCTTTCTCATCAGGGTTCACTTCTTTTTTGCTGTGGTGCTTTGGAGCCTTGGTAGCAGGCTTCCTTTTAGGAGCTGCTTTCCCTTTTGGCTTTGGCTTTGCCAGATATGCCTGTGAGAAGCTCTCTTCAACCACAGCTAAATCTTCATCACCAAGCCCATGCATGTTTCCTTCTGATTTTCTCTTTTTTCTTCACTGGTGTTGTCTGAACTGGCTCTCCTTCTTCCTCTGTGGAGCTGACCAAGCTGCCCACATAGAGGCCACTTGGTTTGATGGAGCCTGCTTTTTTCTTTGGAACTTTGGACAACATCTTGCTGTCAACATCTTTCACTGGCATTGATTGCTCCTTGGTTGAAGGGCTGCGGAAGCTCTTGGTCAAAATCCTCTTGAAAACATTGCCAGGAGACAATTCTGGCTTTGCTTCTGCTTTTGCCTTTGAGGAACTGGAAGACTTTGTCGGCTTCCAAATAGCCAAAGTTGTACCATGAGCATCATCTTCAAGCTCTGCAGCAGAATTGTCCAAAGGCCTAGCTTTAAATGCCCTAAGATTAGATCCACAAGTTCTTTGTCTTCCATTGTCGCTTTCCTCATAGCAGTGTCATAGGACTGCCCAGATTTCTTCAATTGCCTGGCCTGGGAAAGTAGGACTCTAACCCTTGCATCAACTTCATTCATAAACTTGTCACTGTCATATCTTTGCAATGCCAATCTCATTTTGGCTGATGGCAAAACACCATTGCCATGCGGTGCAAGGTGCAGTCTTCCAGCTCCATGGTGCATTCATTGGGTGCTTCAGGCAATCAAAAAGGCCTTTCTCTTTTGACCTGTCAGTTTGCCTGAGCAACACTCTCTGCAAGTCCATGACTGAAATTGAGGGGCCCACCCTCAACTTTTTGTATATGCCCTGGCTCTCAGATTGAGATTCTGTATTGCAGACTTGGGTTTGTTTAAACATGTGTTGTGGTTCTTATTTGTGTTGTCCACACAAGCTGTCCAAAAATTTGGACACGCATGCACAAAATGTGTTTGTTTGCATGGTGTTTCCTTTTTGTGTGACCTATTTGGAGGGATAAAGAGCATCAGAAGCAAGTGTTGCAATGCTACTTGCCACTTAGTATCTTTTTTGCTACTTAGCCACACAACATTTAAAACAATTTCAACATAACTTTTAAACAATTTTGGCAAGGATTGTCATGCTTTTAAAACAATTTAACATAATTTTAAAACAATTTTGGCAAGAATTGTCATGGCTTATGGTGCTTTCTCTTGTGACATTGAAGAAACAAAATTTATCTTAGCCAACAAATTCTGACACAGCTGCAGGGTTATCTTATAAAATATCGTTGACAAATAACCCTGGAATTCTAACTAATAGTTAGAAGCATTTCTAGCTAATAGTTAGAAAAACAGAATAAACTAATAGTCAGAAAATAGTCTTGTCTGGTCTTAGAGGAAGGTGTTCCTAGCTACGACACAAGCGTCCAAGGACGCACCAAAAGAAGAGAGGAGAAGGGTTCCCAGCTACGACGAAAGCATCCAGGGACACCCAAACAAGGAGGGAAAGGAAGGAGGAGAGAGAGAGGGAAAAGAGAAGGAAGAGGACAGGTGTTCCCAGCTACGAACAAGCGTCCAGGGACACACCAGGGAGGGGGGTGAACCTGAGTATTACATTCAGGAACACACCAAAAGGCGAAGGGGGAAGAGAAGGGGTGGATGGAGGAAGGGACTAGGCTCTCGACAGACTCCAAAGAGTCTTGAACAAGCTTCGGCCGCTGCGGCCGCGTACGCCGTGCCAAAATGGCTGGCAGCTTTGACCGCTACGGTCACGTAAAGGCATGAGCCAACTTTGAAATCAAAAAGTAAGACAAAAGTCGGAGTTCTCTCGGCCTAGGCCACCTACGCTCGCTGCGAGCAGCTTTGTATCCGGGCAGGGGATACGTTCGACAAACCCCCGTTCGACGGGTCCACAGGGGGCACTCTTCGGGCTCACCCTGGACTGGCATGAAGCCAGACACACTTATGATTATGCGTGCTGAACTGAAAGCGCGCCACACGCCAGCCTAAGTGAAAAGCCTAAGAAACCAAGATGAGTAAAGGGAAAGCTCCGCCAATCTCCAAAGCTGAAAGTTCCGAAGTCAAGGTCTCCAAAGCTCAACGACGGTGAGGTCAGCGCTAGACAATTACTGCAAAACACAGAATTGGAACAGCTTGTCCATTACGTAGGTTTCCTTCCAAGCAGGTACGTCAATCCGGCGTCCCGGATTGATTTCACAGATGCAACACTGGCGTCTTCGTTGGTGCCAGTCCAGTGTGCATCCCTGGCACCCCCGCTAAATAAGGAAAAACTAGACGACGGGTGGCCCGAGAGCGAGAAAAAGAAAAGATGTGCATGTTAAGTTTGTAGATGTAGAACATGAATGTTAGTTTCTGATGATTTAGGATGTAGAAGTGGTGAAGAAGATACAAGAAGAGGTGAGAAGAAAGGAGAAGAGAAAGTAGATATGAAGTGAGATCTGTGAGAAGATGTGATGACAGGAACAAGTGGCGTAGAGGAGGTGAGCAGATGTAGCAGAGGTTTTGAATTTTGGATCTAAAGGTGTTGAACAAGACGCAACAAGATGTGAGAGGATATGAGAAGAGAGAAGATCTAATGAGTGAGAAAACGCAGATCCGCAAACGTACTTCCCACCAAGGCCGCGCAAATCCGCATGGCGCCGCGACACCCGCTCACCAGCGACACGCCGCGTTTACCCCAGCATGTTTCGGGCTTGCGCCGGACCGGGCCAAAACGCGCTCTCACCTGCATTTCGCGCCCTCAACACGCACGATCTCTGCAGAGGGTTGCGCCGGACAGGGCCAAAACGCGCTCTCGCCTGCATTTCGCGCCCTCGACACGCACGATCTCCGCAGAGCGTTGCGTTTCGTGGTGCTCCGGCGCTACTGCCTTCGGCCTTGAGAGAAAGTAAAGAAGAGCGAGAGGTGAAGATGTGAGATGTATAGATGTGAGGATGTGAAGATGAGCAGAGATGTAGATGTGCAGATGTGAAGATGAGCAGAGATATAGGTGAGAATGTAGATGTGCAGAGGTGAAGATGTGAAGATGTAGATGAGACGTAGTTCAGATGTCTTTTTACGAAGAACCCTTCGCAGGCGCTCTCGGGAAAAAGAAAAAACAATCCAAACGGATCCCTGTGACTACAAGGGGCACACACACACACACGCCTCCCCGAGTGGAGGCGTTCTCTTTCAATTAAGCTCCGGACGAGGGTGAGGTTGGGTGAAAAAAGATCCTACGAGGAGCGGTGAATCTCATGTACGTGAAGAATCTCCCGATGAAGAACAGCTTGAGCAACCAGAGGAATGCTCTCTGTCGGTGCCAATCCAGCAGGAGAAGGTGACATGGCTGGTGGAGCAGGGATTGGTGGAGGAGGAATCATCACTCTAAGGTCGCGACAGGTTCCAACGAACCTTCAAAAAACTTTGACCGCTGTGGTCACCTTGTGCCCTGCCAAAGTGGCTGGCTGCTTAGACCGCTACGGTCACGTATTGGCGTGAGCCAGCTTGGAATTCAATAGTTCAGCAAGTCTTGGCAAATAACTTTGGCCTAAGCCCACTTTGCTCGCGGCGAGCTGCTTTGTATCCGGGCAGGGGGTACAGTCGACAAACCCCCGTTCAACGGGTCCACAGGGGCCACTCCTCGGGGCACCCCGGGCTCTCACAAGGAGAGACACAGTGACACACTTATAGAAATGCGTGCAGACTTGAAAGCGGTTGCCACACGCCGGCCTAAGTGAAAAACCTAATTAACCAGGGTGAGTAAAATTAAGCGGTTCAAACCTCCTCCACAACTCCAAGTTCTCTAAACATCCAAAGCTCCAAGGTTTCAAATTGCAACCGCGAAATGATCGAACGACAAGAACGACGGAACGTGCAGAGTCTGCGGATGAAGAACCGATGCAAAGGCTGGATGTCTTGTTCTAGGTGCAACGGGGCCCAAAAGGAAATGAGTGGTGATCATCTTCCCGCAGGTACGCGCAATCTGTGTCCAGATTGCATATCACAGCAAACTTGAAGTGTCTTCGTTGAGCGGTGGCTTCAAGAAGGCCCCCCGCGCCCCTGTTGAAAAATCATCATGAAGCAAAACAATCCTACAGGATCCCCGTGATTCCAAGGGGCACACACACACCCCAGTAGGGGCTGCAGGGGCTAGCTGCTAGCTTTTCGAAAGCTCAGGTTGTATTCAATTTTGGCCCGGAGGATGTCAAAGACTCCATGTGGAGGAAGGACATTCCTGGCAAGGGCAAGATCGCCGTGAAGCACGTGCAGTCGGTGACGGTCACTGTGCTGAAACCATGATCGCCCTCTGAACGTGAGCCTGAGGGATTTGACGTGGCAACCCCCAACACCTGGTCCAAGCAAGTGCTCTGAGGTTGAAAGGCATGGCTCCTGAATCACAGAACCCTTTCCTCCATGAAGGGCATGACTTGTGATAAGAAACATGCAATCTTGCTTGCTTTGCTTTGCCTTGCTTTGCCTTGCTTGGCCTTGCTTGGCCGTGCTTGGCCTTGCTTGGCCTTGCTTGCTTGCTTGCTTGCTTGCTTGGCCATGGGTTTATCACATCCCCTTGCGACATCCTTGTTGGGGTATGTGCAGTAAGATGCTAAGATTTTGTTGTATCACCCTGTCTTACCATTCCTGCTGCACTTAGGGGGCCCGAATACTTTACGTACTTGTATGCTGTTGCAAATGTCCACCATTCCGCCAGCTCATCCTCGCGTTCCACCCGGCTGACACGGTCAAACACACCAGCTGATCACCCAGCTGGACCTCGAACGGCGCGGTGCGCACGGTACACGCTGAGGAGTTGAAGGATTGGTTGGCCATGACGGACCGTGAGGCGCCGGAGGAGACCCGCTTCGGGGAGAAGAGTTATCGAGGCAACGAGAGGCCTGGAGCCTGGAGCTGGAATTTGGATGGACCAGATGGAGGGTTCGATGGGTTTGGGTGAGGGATTTGATCACGAATGAGGAATGTAGAGGGGAATATTTGCACCCAATCATATCCAATCTATTCCAATCTTCCGGATTGGAGGCCCGTGAGAGATGCCATCTCTGAGATCCAGACACCCATCCCAGCGGGACAACATCCCAGACACCATTGACACTACTCCTGTGTTTGCGTGGTTTGTGCATGGTTTGGCGCACAAATCCAGCCCTGCCTTCAGGCTCTGTGAGGACACGAAGTGGGACAAGAACTTCTGGGAGGCCTGGTTGTTGAACAGGTCAAGCCATTGTCGGATAACATCCATGTGTCCCAAAGCCCTCAGTCGGCAATTCCAAGCCTGCCTCTTTTTGACTCTCTTGGTGTTTCGATCAGTTCATTTCAATTTGCACCCGTTGGGCCGGCCTGTTTTCGCACGGCCGCTTTTTCATGTTCTTCTTGTTCCCTTTGGCCATACCTCAGAGTTTGACCAAAGCCACTCGGAAGAAGGCCAAACTCATCTGATCAGCTCCAGGCTGACTGGGTATGGTCTACCGTGAAAGTTCTCACCGATGGTGCTGCTACCAGCTGCGAGGAGGCATGGGCGGATCTCATGTTGGCCACCCTACATTCCTGGAAATGGGGAAGTGGAGAAGGTGCTCAGTGCTCAGGCTGAAATGTTCATTGATGTTCATTGGCCTGGAGGCCCTCGTGAGGCCCTCCAAAAAGTGAAGCTTTTGCAAGGGGGACACCAGCCTGGGAAGCCAACTTGCAGTACGTAGATAGGAGCGGCTAAGTGATGACTGGTATATATGGATGCCGCATGTTTCATTAAGGTCAACGCTTGTATATCTTGTATAGTATAGTGTGGCACCTAGTTTGCAGTTTGCAAGACTTGCCAGCTCTTCCAGCTCACAGAGCGTCGACGAAGGACCGTAGAGCCCATGAGTCAACAATAGTGTTGGGGCAATGCATCATCAGTTGAAAACCACCCCCCAAGACCATTCCCCTCACCCCCATTTGCATTGAAAACACTTCCCTTTGTTTCCAGGCGAAGCCCTTCTGCGACGACAAGGAGTTGCCCTTGGTCCGCCTGCTTTGCCCAGAGATCCTCAGCTATGGAGAGCGCGTCGGTGGAGTGTGAGGAACACGCCCACGCTGGTGTTAGTGCTCCTGCTACATGCAGCGACGAGAATATGGCTAGATGTCCCTTTGCCCCAGATCCGCCACTCCACAATACAGCTGAGCTGCCAGCTAATGGAAGCTTCTAAGCTCAGCAGTAGCAGTCAATAGCACCATGCAGGGTGATTGTTGCAACGATACGTGATCAATGATGATCTATGATCGGTTTTGGAATGAGCTCCCTGCAAAAACCCAACGTGAGATGCACGCCAGATCTCCTCACTGTCGCTAGATTCGCGCTTTGCTCAGCCTTTGTAAGGACCTGCGGCTGTACCAGGGCGGATTCTGGACTCTATGCAGACAATGGCTGTCGGCAGCAATGCCGGGAAGAGAGCGAGTTTCCCGGTGGACACGGAGAGAAGTTGCTACTTCAAGACAGGTAATGCCTAATGCACAAGCTCCTGAATTAGCAAGTATGTAATGACATCCATCGGTTCAGAGGCAAACAAGTCCCACAAGCACCATCACTTTTGAGCAAACCTGCATTTTGTTGGTGTTGTTGATATTGCTCGCCCATTTGGGGTGAATCCTGGAGTCCTTGTGGTGCAGTTTCGCTGTAAGGTTTGCGCAAAGCCGCAACAAAACCACCTGCAATGACACAGCAGAGGCTCGGGAGCATGCAGCGGAGTCTGGACACTCCGTCCAAAATCATGATTTTCATTTTTCTCTGGATCTTTCTGGTGCAGATTGTCAAGAAGGATAGCTCCTTTCCGTTTTGTCTGGCCGCGGATTTATAGACACCACCTTCCATCATTCATATACATAATTATATGTGTATATATATATATTTTATGTTATGTATATATATACACAATATTACGATACATTACGTCCACTTGGGGACGGACATTTCGATCACCAGCACCAACATTGTCCTGCAGGTGTCATCCACTATGGCCTGGAAGCGATGGTGGCAAGGATTCCATTCGGCCAACGCTGGCGTTTGGAGCGAGGACTGGGACCGGGGATTGGAGCACTGCGATGGCTGGTAGGTCCTACTCAGAACTATTTTTGTTTTTGAGACACGCCCAAGAAAGACAGGTTGCGAGATTTTTTTGATGCGTGGCTTCAGATGCACATGTGAAGATCATGATGATCCCCTGTAAGTCGAGGACAACCCCATGATGTCGGTGGGCAACGATCCGGCACCTTTTCTGCAAGCCAAACGAGATCGGACATGGGGACGAGGAGGCATTCTGAGATGCTTTTAATGCTGCGTGTTTTCCGGTGGCATCCGTAGATTAGATCCCAATCAGGTGGACCACTGTTTTCGGCCAAGCGTGACGCACACCGCCAGGCATCGGCGAACTGTTCCTTCGTCACGAGCAAGGATTGGATCCGCCAAAACTTCTGCCCCATGGCCAGTCAGCTCCGCATCGCTCGGCCACACACACCATCATGGTGGGATGGTAGCGGGCGCTGAATATTTGTGATTATTCATTATGCACATACTATATCCCCACCCCCTATCTCTACAAAACCGGAGGGGGGACCTGTCTAAATGTAAGCTACATTTTTCAATGTTTTTCGGGGGGGAGGGGGGGGGTCTAAGAAATGTAGCTTACATTTAGACAGGTCCCCCCCATTTCTTGGTTTTGAGAACCCTTTGCAGGAAACGTCTGAAACACGCTTGGGGGGGGGGGGCGGGGCGCCGGCGGGCACGCGCGGGCGGGGGGGGGGGGGGGGGGGGTTCGTACGGGCGTCGTCCACCCACCCGACGAGAGGGGGGGGGGTCGTGGATCTCTTCGGGAGTGGCTCGAAGAGACGTGTTGCCAAACACAGGAAAAGCATGAAGAAAAGGAAGAAAGGTCTAGAGGAAAAAGGGGAAAACACAGAAGAGAAGAAAGAAAGGTCTAGAGGAAAAAGGGGAAAGCGCGGAAAG